GGATAAATACTTCTCTCTTCTAATGAAAACGAGCAAAAGTAAAATGAGATGCGATCACATGCGCGCTATAACGGGGAGCTGGCGATCATTGGTCCTTAGCGATAACTTGTCAGTACAGATATAAGACCAGATGAAATTATCAGTGTTTTACATCATCTGTTAAAGCGTTTGGTCGTCCCGCCGAATGCCCGGGTTCGATTCCCCACATGGATACAACCCGTGGAAGGCGACTACGCTTGTCGTAAGAGGCGACAAACGGGATCGGGTTGCCAGGCACGCTGGTTTGGTTACTTGGTTGGTTTGTTGTTTAACGCCACACTCAGCAATGTTCCAGCTATATGACAGCAGTCTATAAATAATCGAGTCTGGATCAGACAATCCAGTGATTGACATCATGAGCATCGATCCACGCAATTGGGATAGATGACATGCTTCAGCCAAGTCAGCGAGTCTGACCACCCGATCCCGGTAGTCGCCTCTTACAAGCATAGTCGCCCTTTAAGGCAAGCATGGGATGCTGAAGCCCTGTTCTTCACGGGTCCACAGGGATATGGATGTTGGGATGATTAAACTGAAACTATAACTTTAATTTGTATGATATTTCTGTATTAATGTTCGGACATTCCATGTCAGATTTCTTTACTCAGGCATTAAATTCCGTCTCAAACAAGAAAATTCCTTTCCGAAAGAAGCAAAAGGCCTCACACATAATTTGAATATTTGTTTTTGCTCTTGGTACAGTGGCCACTAAGCTGGTACCCGAATATATTCCTGGGACCCGAAATTCAATTACACAGGCTTCGGTAAATCCCTGCGACACCATTGCTGGGATGATCGATCAATGTCACTGTCTTCATGCAGATAACGTTCATCATTTAAGAGTATTGCTTCATATGGATGTCCGTTCCAGTGTTTTTCCAAGTGAACAATTAACTTGCCTTTGCGTGTGTTTGTTCCGGGTACTACCGGTGGGGCAGGATTCTATCATCTTTTGACGAACACCTGGTATCATCACTATTTGATAGTGATTCTTGAACACATGATCATGATATAGTCGGAATCGTACATCTGCTTTTAGCAGGGAATTCCTATTAATATTGAAAGGGTTTTGTCGGTTGAATCTATTATTGATACGTAAAGGCTAAAAGTCGTTCACAGATATATTGTTAGGTGATGTCGGCCTTCCGTTGAGACTTTATTGATTGCTGACTGATTGTTTGTCGTTTAACGCCCGCTCAGCAATATTCAAGCTGTATGACGGCGGCCTGTACATAATCGAGTCTGGACCAGACAATCCAGTGATCGATGTTGTGATCACGCCGTCGGAGTACGATGACACGCAATTTAACCAAGTATTCGAGTCTGACCACCCGATCCACTAAGTCGACTGTAAGACCGCCATATAGGTAACTGGGGACCTATACTAACCCGGACACCCACGGGGCGTTGAGAGTGGTAGAGTGAAAGGGTGCGAAACAGCTTCAGGTGTATGACGGTTATGGGGTAGCAATGCCACATGCAAAACTGATTGGGTGTTTTGGTGGACAGATATGTATATGTATGAATACTGTTGACGTCATTTATATGTTTGTTGTCGGAGTGAAAGTCTTCACAAGAGGTTTTTGCAAAGAGTTCACACACACGCAACATGTGTGCATGGTGATATAACAGGGTATGTTTGGTGACTGATTGTTGGTGCAGATCACAAATTCAACATGGCTGTCATTACGACCATGTTTAAATCAGATTGGAATTCTTTTTGAGTTTGTTAGAGGCGGGATAATTTTCTCAGAATGCTTCAAAACATAAAATGTCCTACTTTGAAAAGGATAACTAAACACTATACACGACAAAGTTGATATAGGACATCCCATGAAATATTTACTAAAGGAGTAAAAACTTGGCAAACCTTTTTTTCCAGGTTTTCGATGCTCATGATGTCAATCACTGGATTGGCTGGTCCAGACTCGATTATTTACAAACCGCCGTCATATAGCTGGTATAGTGTGGCGTTAAACAACAACAAAAAACATATCCTAGGTGCCACAATTCGCTGTGCAGTGTTGCGTCCATTGGGCACGCCAGAAACCTATGATCGTGGGTTCAAATCTCGGTTCGCCCCCATTTTGTTTCTTGATGTCAGCTCCATACTCGAGGATTTCACCAAAGTGGTAAACGTCTGAGTCCTGCAATGCTGGCGTGCCAAAGGGACGCTACTTTGCTCGGCGAATTGCGGCGTCTTAAACGACTGGGCTACCCGTGCCCTCTCGTGAATTAGAAGAAAATATATATGATGTGAATAATACACAATATATAGCAGCATATGGGAACAGTTTATAGTTTAACTATAACGGTGTTACAGGATATTTTTGAAAACTTGTCACAAATGCACGAGGTGGTGATGTATGTCTCCTCGATATCTGCAGCGCTACATTTCGGTGCACATGTACCTACGCGCACTGACATGCGATCTCTTGAGATATATGTAGATGATGTAATATGTGTAAATATATTGAAACTTTTCTCTTAAAAATAGCAATCTGGGTCACTTCTGGACACAGTGGTATATGTAATAATATAGTAAATCGTCTTTAAAGAAGAAAGAAATAAAGGAAATCAATTTATTCTCTAATTAATATTTCTTAAAAATGTTATGCCACATCTAGATAGGGATATATTGTATTGATTCGTAAAGATTCGTATAGTGTATATAAAATCTTAGGATGTTTGTGTTATGCTTTTTGCGAAAGTTAATAAAAGTAAGATATATGTCGTATGCATGTTTATACATTACAGAGAATTATGAATGTATGAATATTCATATGCGTTCATGAATGCGATTTACCCCCCTAATTTTACATTAAAAATTTCCGAAGGGGGGTACCCCATTGAACCCCGCTGTGTTGTCCGTCTTACAAAATATATTTTTCTAGAAACAGAATTATATTTGAAAATGAGGATTTACCCCCCTTGAACCCTCCTGTGTTGTAAGAATATACTGATCTGCAGACAGCGTTTGTAAAAAAATGGCGGCCTACAAATCCTCTCGTTTTGACCATAAACAAAGAACTGCACATGTGTGGAACGTTTCTCTTTCGATGACTTAATAATAACAATAACAATAAACACATCAATAATTAATGTAGATGCAAACAGCAATGGCGGGCTCCAAGTACCACTGTGCACAAACATCCATGTTCGAATCCTCAAAGGGTTTCCTTGTACCAACTCCGTAAAAATATAGTCACCGTTTGCAGCAAATCGCAGTTACGAAATTGGCGTGTTCCAGGGTTGTTCCAAATATTAATCAAATATTACCACCAAGCGGTGTTACTTTTGATATGCAACCAAGAACAAAAAATGAGATACATATGGAACACTAACTTCATGTAACCTTGCAAGAGTTTCTGTGGATCCCTTTAAAAGATATGAGCTTTAAAGTAAAATTCCGTTGAAAAAAATGAGCAAAATCAAAATCCAGTATGGCCACAATTAAAAAAGATATCCAAAAACGGCTATTAGAATTTGTTGTGTTGTGTATGGAGACAATTCCCAGAAAGTTTGGAAGCATTTCATTTCACACAAAAATAAAAAATAAATTTTACTAAGAAAGTGTTATCCCAAATATAACATTTGTTACATTGACCACTTTCTCAATGGCATTGTGAATTCATAGCTTTCGGCCATGGGAGCCGTATCAATTTACACTTATCAGAGGGGTACACAAAGTATGTGATCTAGACTACCAGTTGTCAGACTTTCATTTCGTGGAAGCCTTGGTGGCTGAGTGGGTTAGATCCCTGACTTTGTGTGCAGGCGATTAGGTGCCTCACTCTGGCAATGTGGGTTCAAAGCCAGTGCAGAACTAAACCCAACAGAGTACAAAAATCTGTACTTAACTAAGAAAGTGTTATCCCAAATATAACATTTGTTACATTTTTCTTGTACTTTTTCATTGTGAAAAGTGGGGCAGTCGGGTGACCTGGTGGTTAAAGCGTTCGCTCGTCACACCAAAGACCCCGGTTCGATTTCTGGTGTCCCCCGCCGTGATATTGCAGGAATTTTGCTAAAAGCGGCGTAAAACCATACTCACTCACTCACTCACTCATTGTGAAAAGTATTTACCTAGTAGTTTCAGTGGCAAAACAATACAAATATCACAAGTATCTAATTTATTTTATTCATTAAATCGGTTTATATTTTTCACATTTACCGAGAGTTCTATTTCCATAATAAACACACCAAAGCTTATGCCCCTTGCAATATGACGTCATTGGTGCCAATTGATAAGGTCATGATCTTGAAATAATCATGAAAAATCATTATAATTCAGACGGTTGATGTAAAAAGCCACAAAAATACATTGATGCAACATGTTGTTTTTAATTATTTTTATTTAGGCCTTATACTTTTTATTTAAAAAGATACCTAGTTTCACTGGTTTGCTGACCAATTATCCAGTCTCTATACAAAATCATGGGCCTCATATTTCATGTTTGATGCAATTTACACACATATACAATTTACAGTACATTGATACATGAAAAAAATCAAGTTACCATTTTTTTTTTTATGATAGTGAGATATAGATGACAAAAGTGTTTGTGTTAATGTTTCTATGTTGTATCTTTCAAATATATAGAGGGGCGGTCGGGTAGCCTAGTGATTAAAGCGTTCGCTCGTCACCTCAATGATAATAGGGAAGAAAATAAAAGCAACAAAACCCTTTCCATATTCATCTCTGAATCTCTGTCAAAAACAGAGTCGACTAAATCATGAGCATGTGTTAATGAATCTCTAATGAGATCCATTTTCATTGTGTACAAATTGTGTTTATTCTCATGCAGAGCTACAAGTCATAGAATATTAGAGTGTCTTGTGAGGTACAGTGCTTCAGACAACAAGAGAACTGTGCTTTTGAAAAGGTCAACCAGTGCACTAACAAGTTGCCACTAAGCATTTAGCCAATGCTTGTGCTATTTTCTTCAGTCTTTACCCCCCCCTTGCCTAAAACTACCTCATCCAGCATCAGCCACCCTGTATTACAGAAACTTATAAAAAGAAACAGCAATGGCTGATTGTTGTCAGAGACCATAAAACAAGATTTCAATGAAAACAATTTATTTTAGTGAGCAGAGAGAAAAACAGTACATATATCAGATGGAAATCGTTCACGAGTAAAATCGACAACACAAGATTGAATAACTTTGATTCTTCAACTATTTCTGCAAATCCCAAAAGTGAACCTCTCGTTTATGAGGTGCAGATAGATTCTGAAATGAAAAATTGTCTTTTATTAGTCATACAGTACAAAACATAACAAAAATATCATACCGTTTAAATAAATAATTTTGTCATTCAATCTGGAGGGAAGCCTACAGAAGAAGCAACTTATATTGATGAAATATACCGGTACATAATTTTTATACCAATGTTAATAATTCAATAATAGCCAAAACAGTTTATAGTTTTCTATCATGTTGACATGATGTGTTTATTACTATTGCTTTGAATACTTCTTAAATATTGTGGACATGTTTCAATATCACTGGTGTAATTTAAAAACCTTACAAGTTACAAATTTTCATTACTGTCTCGCAAATAAACATTTATGGTACTGGAGATTTATTTTACTTGTCAGATTTGTTTTTTTTGCAAGATAGGTGAGGTGAAATGGGGTTCAATGTCACATCCAAGATTATTGCACTTATATCGCAACGTGCATGTGCTTGTGTGTGGCTACTTGTATTAGCCCGGACTGATGCCGATTTATAGTGCTAGCACACTGAGATACCATGCCGCAGTTTAACATGAATACCCCTCTAAGACACACTGACTCCGAGCCGACCAGTCCTTGTTTTAGCCCCTTAATGCCGAGCTCCAGACAGGGTGACAACAACTACTATTTTTTAACCTCTTTTGGAATGACGCGACCGGGGATGGAACCCAGGGGCTTCCACTGTCCGGGCGGATGCTCTACCACTAGACCACGGAGGGGGTCTTTGCAAGATAGATCTTCAAATGCATAATAAAATAAATTGATGAAAGCAAAACATATTGTATTTGGTGGGGTAGCCTTGTGGTTAAAGCGTTTGATTGTCACGCTGAAGTGAGTGAGTGAGTGAGTATGGTTTTACGCCGCTTTTAGCAATATTCCAGCAATATCACGGCAGGGTATACTAGAAACTGGCTTCACACATTGTACCCATGTTGGGAATCGAACCCTGGTCTTCGGCGTGACGAGCGACCGCTTTAACCACTAGGCTACCCGACCGCCCCGTCACGCTGAAGACCCAAGTCTGATTCCCCACATGGGTACAATGTGTGAACCCCATTTCTGGTGTCCACCCGTGATATTGCTGGAATATTGCTAAAAGCTGTATAAAACCCTACTCACTCACACATATAAAAAGATTTATTGCAGATTTCATAAATCTGAACTTATCGAAGATGCAAAACCATCTTAATCTGAAACTGTTCCAGATGATTGCTGAAGGGAAAAACACTAAAGAATTATTATTATGATGTACCCATTCCTTGTGGGTTCAAAGGTTATTCCTTTGGAACAGACCCGTGAAGATCCGGGCTAGAATAGGTCTTCAGCAACCCATGCTTGCCCTAAAAAAAAGGCGACTAGGGTCCCTGACTCGCTGACTTGGTTGATGCATGTCATCGATCCTAATTGCGTGGATCGATGCTCATGATGTCAATCACTGGATGGTCTGGTCCAGTCTCGATTATTTACAGACCGCCGCCATATAGCTGGAATATTGCTGAGTGCGGCGTTGAACAACAAACCAACCAACCTTTGGGACATATACATCTGTTCCCACCTTTCTTTAGTCACAGCATTATATTCATTGTACTGTTTTCGAAACCTCTGAACGGAGAAACTGAGCTCATCATATTCAAGATGTTTATTATACAGCATTTCAAAGATTAAGTCAACAGAAACCCACAGTTATCCATTGCAAGCCACTGAAATCCGTAAACACTGTGACGGAATGCAGAATAAACAAAAACATTTCTCACCGGAAAGCATGGTACTCGCTACATTCACCAAGGGAGCTAATTAATACTCGCAACTAACGGAAGAGAAACAGTAAAGCACTACTAAAATATCCTTTTTTACACTGATACCGACTACCGTTACATTCATAAAGCAAACAATTTTATCAAAGATATATTTTCATATGAAATTTGAGCCCTGGTTCATCTTTTACTGGTCCACTGGTGTAATCAACTCATTGCATTTGGCCTGCATACTGTATGTTATGAAATTGGATATTTACAACATGTAATGGTCAAAATATTTATTTCTATTTTCTATCAATTATGATAGCTTAATTGGTTAAGGAGGTATGAAATCTGGTTTCTAGAATTTCCACAAATTATGTATTGCATATAACATGTATAACAACAGTAGTACACAATATTAAATAATTGTAATGTTATGTTAGGTTGTTTATTTTAATTTCCTGGTTTTGAATGTTATGTTTCATTTTTTATCATGTGCTAATTTTACATCAACCTTAATAAGAAGGGAGATAAGCACAGGTTGGTGTGGTCATATCACCATGTGTTTTAAGCAGCATGCATGAGGAAGTCATGCTAGGAGCCAGTGAGGTCTAAAGTAATAGTAAGGCACATTTTATGTCAATCTAAGGTTTGTACTCTAGACACAAGAATAAGAAAAGAGTAAGGAATCAACACATGATATGAGGTATGTTAACATTTAAAACACACTGAACACAGGTTATGGGTTTTTTGGTTTTGTTTGTTTGTTTTATTCAATTCAGTATATGATATTACAGAGTTATACATTGAGTAGCACGTCATGTGGTATACTTATTAGGTATAGGTTACATACCTATACAGCAGACAGCAAATTTAAGTTGGCTACAGGTGTCCAACACTGTTTACGAATGGTGAAACGGGCAGGCTACATTTGCCATGTTTATTTACTATGTGTGTAGCTAAATCCTTACAGCACATTAGTGGAAATTGTTCATGTTAAAAAAAAAAAAGATTAAAAATAGAGACATATTAACCAGACAATTTTTCCTTTTTTTGTCAAACTGTCTTATTGTATTGTTTTTGTGTGCAATTGATTTCTCTATCCGAAATATATCAATTAAAGTCTTCAGAAACTTTTCAAGTGACAATTTGTTTTTCTTAATACTTGACACATATATATATATTTTGCATGCCAGTATGATGTGATTTAACAGAATGTTAGAGTTGTACCCAAGTAAAACAGAGCATTTTGTAAATGTAAATTGTTTTGAACATTTTGCATTCAGAAAACATTCAACTTTAGCCCCAAACTCTTTAACATGCTTACAATCCCAATATACATGAAGTAAGGATTCAGTATCAGTTTCACAAAAGGAGCACAGATCATCATTGAGAATTTTCATTTGAAACAATTCTTTCTTTGTATAGATGGTGAGATAAATAAACTCATATTGAAAACCAAGTAATTTTACATCTTTTGTACATTTTCTGTATCTGATAAAAACATCTTTCCATGATATATCTAAGTCGAGAATGGTATCCCATTTTTCACAGACTGTTGCTGTAATTATACATGTAGTCTTATCATAAAAATATCTGGAGCCTTTAGGCGCTACAAGTAAGTCCATCAAAGTTGTATTTAGATGTTGATTATGTAAGATAATGTGATATTTCTAATGGTATCTTTCCAGGATTTGGGTATGTTTAATAGAACTTGGTAATAGTCAATAATTGTGCCTTTAATTTGGTATTTTCTTTTAAGTTCATTAAAGGGCATTACATCATCTTCATTACAGAGATCTTTAATAGTGTCAATTCACTTTAAAAACTAATTTCTTATAATGAAATCGGGTTTTTTAAACTGATGGTTACACCAAAGATGGGTTAGCTAAGTGTATACAGTTTTCAATATTGGACCCAAGTAGGAATATGTTTTGGGGTGGAAAGATGCTAGGGTTATTACAGTTTTTGTTTTGGAGATGTTTTTTGAGAACTGACAGTTTTAGAGAAATTATAAAGGACCTTACCCCTATCATTCTCAGTCCGCCTTCGTCATATTTTCTAATTAAAGTTGTTCGTTTTATGTTGTCCCTTTTATGATTCCATATGAATCTGTACAATATTTTGTTTAGTTCATCAATAAGTTCACTTGGAGGGTTTGGAAGAGAGGAAAATATATGTACTAAGGTTGACAGGGCCAAGTTTTTGACAACAGTAATTTTATCTATCAATGTTATATTTCTTTTCCTCCAATTCCCTAAAATTTTATTAATAATTTCAATTCTCTTCTTTGTATTGATTACCCACAGATTATTTAAGTTCAAGTTCAGCTTTATTCCCAATATTTCAAAGTCCCCACTGTGCCAGTCTAGTTTCAGATCCTGACATAATTTGATGTCACTGCCTGTCATTGAGCCTATCCATATTGCTTTTGTCTTATCAATATTAATTTTTGATCCTGACATTTTATAAAAATCATTTAGGGTGCCAATCGCTGCACTTAAACTTTCGTCAGTCCCATCTAGAAATATTTCAGTATCATCAGCATATTAATTGTATGTTCCACATTATTGAGTTTGATACCTTTTATTGCATTATTATCACAAATCATTATTCCTAACGTTTCAGCAACGAGCAGGAATAGATATGGAGACAATGGGTCTCCTTGTCTACATCCCCTTTCGTTACAGAAGAATGTAGATAGGTGTACATTTTGTATGATAATGATGCAAGATGAAGCATTATTTATAAGTATGCATATCCATTTTCTTATATTAGGCCCCAAGCCAAACTTTTCCAGTGCCAAGGTTATGGGGTTGATCTGCATGCTATTATTTCCAGTCAGTTGGGACAAAGTTTTAGGGGGTGGTTGTAACAGATGATTTGTCCAAAAAGTCAGGTCAGGAAGTCAAAATTTCCAAACAAAATTTTTCAATTTTTATTAATTTTCAACAAGTTTTAATTATAGTTTCTGAAATAATTTATATATAATGATAGTGACAGTGAATGAGTTTCTTGTAAACATTTTACATATATCTGGTCCACTCAAATAAACCCACTGTTTTCAATAATTAACTATATATCCCGGTTTCACCTGTTTTCGGCGAGGGGGCACGGGTGGCCCAGTCGTCTAGGTCGCGCAATTCGCTGTGCAGAGTTGCGTCCCCTGGACACGCCAGAAACCTATGATTGTTTCGAATCCTGGTTCGCCCCGATTATGTTTCTAGGTTTGTCGGCACCAAACCCGTGCTCGTGGGTTTCACCGAAGTGGTAAATGTCTGAGACCTGCATCACTTCGGGCTTTCCTCCCACATTAAGCTGACACGCCATGATATAACTGGAAAACTGTTAAAAGCGGCGTTAAACCAAACTCACTCACTGTTTTCGGCGATGTACGAAAAGTGCGCGGTAAAATTATACACGTTCAAATAAAATCAATTCATTTTCTGTTAATGGCAACAATCATCTGTCAAAGGATATTGACTCACATTTTACAGACGACACTCTTCAATTTAGCTGTCGCTTGCCGCCATTACTGCAGTGGCCCATATTTGGGAGATGCGTCCTACGTCACCTGTTTTCGGCGATGACGTTTCACATGAAGAATGTATCATATTTTTGTTAGATTGTGAACATTTATTTTTTTAAATCTGGCTTCATAATGGATGATAAATAGTTTCCCTGCAAATTTGCAATGCATTTTCTATGAATGGTTGTCAGAACAAACCAAAAACCATTTATCTATTAATTAGATATCTTACTTATCCATAAAATATGGCAGTTATTTTGAATTCGGATAAGAAAAAATCAAAGAGATTCTTTTTTTCCCCAGTACGCAACCGACTTTGGAAACGTACTGGGACGTACCCCATTTTCGTGTTACTCAAACTAAGCATATGCTCTCGTAACCAGCTGGTAATGTGTAATCTTGTTGAGACAACGTTTGGCGACAGATCTAATTTGTTTCTTGATATTGCCATGTACCACTGATCTGTAGCCTATAGGTGGTGGGAATAGTTATATATACCTAACATTGACAAACTTAGATTGACGACAATGCCGATACCGGTCGTAACAGGGGGTTATAGCTAAAACGGCACCTCAGCAAAACGTCACCTGGCGAAAACGGCACCGATTGGCGAAAACGTCACCTCGCCTCAGGCGAAAACGGCTACTATTGCCTAGAAAACGGCACCTTATGTTTTTTTAACCTTGATAAAATAAATGATATTAAACTAACATGGTCGCTTGCAAACACCAATAATTGTGAAATGTTACAACTAGCTTACATTAGAATTTAGCCTCTACTCCAACTTTAATCCAACTTAGCCTATACGCAACTCAACTTATTGTGAAAACATAACATGCCTTGAAGTAAAATAAATGAAACTAAACTCACATCGTCTCTTACAAACACTAATAATAGTGAAATGTTTAAACAAGTTTACAGTAGAAATTGGTGGGTGGGACAGGATGAATAGGCCTGCTGACGAAGCATGCGGTTTACCAGGCGTGACAAAAAAATATCTAAGGATATTACGTTTCCGCTTCTGAAAATGTAATAATGAGCATATAGGTAATTTAGGTATACACACATCAAAGTGTTATTCTTACCACGTTGTCACTGGTAGGCCTAATTGTGTAGATGTCGAGTCGGGGTCGGGTGACACATCAGGTGATGTGGGTCTTCTCTTGTTTTCATCGTTTCCATAGTTCTGTTGGTTCTTAATTATATGGTCTTGCGATTTCTTGAAGGGTCAAGGGGGCTTCTTCGGATCAGCTAGGCAATATGTATCGGATGTCATGTTGCCTCACCATAAACTGGTACTTGATATCTTTTGCGTTGTGACAAGACAGGGGCCCAGTTAAATTCACAGCTCATTCCCAGCGCGTGACACCCTCCGCGAACGGGCTATCGCTGTGAAGAGCTTGCAATTACGTTGTAATCACAGGGGGATAACTCAGGCCTGTTTAGCTCGGAAACTGATTTAAGGCCTCATAACGGCATGACATTTTCACACTTACTGTGAGCTTCCTACTTTCACTGTGATTTGGTTGGTTTGTTGGTTTGTTGTTTAACGCCGCACTCAGCAATATTCCAGCTATATGACGGCGGTCTGTAAATAATCGAGTCTGGACCAGACAATCCAGTGATTGACATCATGACTAATTGGGATTGATGACCGTGCTTTAACCAAGTCAGCGAGCCTGACCACCCGATCCCGTTAGTCGCATTTTACGACAAGCATAGTCGCCTTTTACGGCAAACATGGGTTGCTGAAATATGAGGGTATATTTTCAAACACTGATGTTAACTGATTCTAAAATTGCCTTTTGTTTAAAATACCATCCATTTTCGGGGGTAAACGTTCAACACATATCAGGTTATCAAAGTCTGTACATAAACAATATATTACTGAGGCTTAAAGTTCATGTTATTTAATGATGCATGGATGCCCCTAAAAGACCAAATACTTTTCAGAATGATAGATTATCATGACGATATTGTTAAAATATTGGAATTATTCACATAATTTTAGAAACTTCAAAATTTAGAAAATTTATTATTTCGGAGTATTTTTACTTTAAATAGAGAAAATAAATGATTGCAATTAACATGGGTTATCTGAAATTAGATCTTTTACAATTTTCTTGTTAATCCTGAGAATGGACATCAAGGATATTATTTAGTTATTATTTTATTTGTTATCTTATAAATTTTCAGTTTGATTCCAACTCAGATGAGAGTACCATACAAAGGGAGGCCCCAGCACCAGTAGCTGAGCAATCCAGGGACAGTGACAATGGGAGTGAGCATTCCGTGTATACCCATCACCAGAATAATATCAAGTCCTCGGGAAAGTGTGGAAACTTTAGTTGTCATGCATGACAACTGTGGACATATTGAAGATCATGCCACAAGTCATCTTGTTAACAAGTGAGAACAGGCTAATTGTCATCCTTCAGGCATTGATGCATCCACTCAGACAGATATATTTGATAATTTATGTGTGATTGTTGGATGATAATATATCAAATGCTATATCAAAACCAAAAATGATAGGTCTGGAATTGAGTGTAGTAAGCCTGACGAATAATGTTGTTGGTTGGTTGGTTTGTTGTTTAACGCCGCACTCAGCAATATTCCAGCTATATGACGGCGGTCTGTAAATAATCGAGTCTGGATCAGACAATCAAGTGACAATCACGTAATTGGGATCGATGACATGTATCAACCAAGTCAGCGAGCCTGACCACCCGATCCCGTTATAGTCGCCTTTTACGACAAGCATAGTCGCCCTTTACGGCAAACATAGTCGCCCTTTACGGCAAGCATGGGTTGCTGAAGACCTATTCTACCCCGGGTCTTCACGGGTCGACGAATAATGTAATGGTTCATGTAAGTGGCCAAAACTTTTAACACATACTGTGGTTCAATGTCATTGATGTGTTGGTGTAAATAAAAGCGACAAAACCCTTTCTATATTCTATATCATGAGCATGTGCAGTGGTAGAAACTACCTTTTTTAGTCTGCTAGTTGATATAATGATAACATATAGCAAAACCCTTAAAAATGGCAAATTTCTACTAGTCCCCATCATACCTTAATTGTTGAGCAGGTTCGCAAGGACTATAGGACTAGGGCCAATTTCTGACACAGATGTGTTTATGAATCACTTTCAAATGATGAGACCGGGTGTTTGCAAAAAGGTGAGAGTGTCCTCACATCTTATCTGGAATAAATTCCTTTTACTGTTCATTGTAATTTTGTTGTGTTCAGGTGCCTATGGTAAGAGTGCTTGCATCGCTGTCAGACTGATAAGAATGGGTGAGAACGGAAAAGCCATAATCATTATTAATCATACCTGCTGTTTTCAGTATACAGAGCTCCGCGAACGTGATATCACTGTGAGGAGCTTGAAGTAGCCTTGATAAGAGAGATTGAGATGGCGACGTCATTTCCGAACCAAAGCTTTGGTGGCGTAAGGGTATTATCATAATAGAATGGCGATATAATACACTTAGAAGTTCAGGATGTGTCCTGGATGTAAATAGGATTTATACCTCGCTTGTCGTTATACAACTGTTAATTAAATTCGTAGATAACCTAAATTCGTAGAAATTCTCTTGCCAATTATTCAAATGATGACGTGTCATTTTCAACGTTCTGAATACCTTATACATGCAAATAAAGGTCTCTGGTCACGTACACTCCGTCGTCTGATTGCTCAGACTAACGAAAACCAGATCACGTGAGTAAACAGATGACGCTCTGGCAAAAAATGAAATGTATGGAAACCCTTTCGGATCATCTCGTATATAATTTTCGCTTTATTTTAGGCATGGACTCTTTTTCGTATTTGTACTGTAAATAGGGAAGCTGGGCAATATGGAAGCGTAATAGTGCCACAGTACGTACACAGTTCAGACACAACTATCTCTTTTTTTAATATTTCATGACTAAGTCACTTCAAATATATATTTAACCTCCAAGCAAAGCGAAAAGATATTTCCTTGCACATAAAATAGACAACGGGAAACAGATAAGCTGACTTTGTTCTAAAAATATACTTATTTGAATATCGCCAATGTTTTGTTCAACAACAAAGATTGATAAGGTACTTTATGTGCCGGTCCACAGGGACTGGCAGTCATATGAATTACCGATCCAAGCCTATATCTACCGGTACAAACCGGTAATAACCGGTAACCGGAAACAATGTAATACTCAATTTTGAATCTGTGGCCGTTGTAAAAGTTAGCTGGGAGTTGGCCAACCGAACATTAACTTAAGAACCAACACCATATACTACTGGTATTTCTGCTATCCAAAATGTCTTATTGTTGAGCCGTTAACTATCGTTCGGAATACCCCATGTGAAAGTTTTCGAGGTTGCATGATTAGAAATCACATTCCGACTGTCACTTTCATAATCTGGTAAGCGACACTCTGATTATTCGGATGAAAGGTCGTTCTGACGTGACCCCTAATGGGATGTCTTCAGATCTTTGTTTAGCGGTAGCGAAAACTAAGGTCTGATTTCAATGAGATTGGTAACACCCCTTTAGTGACATTCCCAACCGCGGCTGAATGTACTTGTACCTTAGAACAATAGGCAGGATAAGGAGGGAGAACAAGCAGCTGCACACACGCGCACGCACGCACGCACACACACACACACACACACACACACGTGCACGCACGTCGTTTTATAAGTGCAGTGATCTGATCTTGTGTTGACTTCCTGGCGATAACTTTGCCCATGGCTAAATACCGTAGCTTCCAACCACTATACTCCGGCTGGGAGTAAATATGCTGAGCAATTATTGTTCAATGCCGTCCTGTGTTGAATACGGCCATTAGTATCGAAGTCAACACTGTGATTCCGATAGACAAAGCTGGGCAACATGTTTTCTTTCGACAAATATTTGTAGACGCGCCAATAAAGTTTGGTTCAACCAGGGCTGCCCTGACGCAGAAAACCTGCGTATTTGGCGCAATATAAGTAAAAAAAACGCAACATAATTTCACAAAATCTTAAACGCACATATCCCTTGACAACAAAATACGACCGATATATCAGCTTTGTTTAATGATGGAAACCCAATGTCTATAAACAGTTTCAATACTTGCCTACAGAGGGGCTTGTGTTTGTTACATTACATGGAATTCAAACATCTAACCAATCAAGGAAATATGTCACAAAACGATCGTTTCCCGTTAATGACAATTAGTTTAAGTTTTTCCATTACACACTAACATTACATGGACAATATCTAGTTCTTGTTCCATCTGGTCACGGATTCCATTAAACAACGAATCGTAATGCCTCAAAGTGCTGACAACAGGCTGACCACTTATACGGTCATGTTTGCAAGTCCAATTGAATTTGTTTTTGTTCCAGATTATGCTTTGTTGATAAAACAATAACAGCAGATAAATTATTGTGCACACTACTGGGTGTAGCAAGTCACGTGTGAAGAATTATGGTATTATTTGGCAGTTGCTTTCTTAGTTACATGAATCTACAAATAACATAATAAAATACGACCGATAATAATATAATATAGGGCATTAAGATTTAATTAGGTCAACTGAGTAGATAGCAGATAAGTACGTAAAACATGATTAAAAAGCAGGATTAGACGAAGAAGATAGTATTTTATAGATTAAAACATAATTTATTACGATGTAGTGAGTGAGTCAGCTGGAGTTTAACGCCGTTAACAGTATTCCAGTTATATCACGGCATGTCAGCTTAATGTGTGAGGAAAGCCCGAAGTGATGCCGGTCTCAGATGTGCACGGGTGTGGTGCTGACAACCTAGACACATAATCGAGGCGAACCGGGATTCGAATCCACAATCATAGGTAATGTATTACGAACTCTGACATCAATTATGAATTTGTAAACATGACCTCCAACAAAATACCTATGACTCTTTGTACCACAGCTACGGGGTCATACTTCCCCCCAGTTTGAGAGGCTAGGGCAAACCCTGGTTCAACTTGGATGTGAAAAGGACACTCATCTTCCCGAGGCAAGAGAGTTAACTGACTTTAAAAGTCCAGTTTCCACCCTTGCCGAACTTGGCTGGAATTCCTGGGCTCGATCGTAGCGCCACCAAAGGTTATTACGAGTTATGTCCCTTCTAAGCCTCTCCTATGGACCAATCAGACTGCATTACTTGCATTTGTTTCAAACAAAATGGTGGCGCCCAGAAAGACGATCTGATCGATAATCAAGATCTATATTGAAATAAAACAGGTCTTACATCGCGAAGTGCATCAAATCACGTGAGCACCTTGATTAAAAACAGGAAAAGTTTTGGAAAATATTTGTTGACAACGAGTTGGCGGTGCACATGCTTTGCAGATCCTGCAATCGACCGAACCGGATTTCGATTTCGTTGCGCGATTTTGATTGGACTATGCAGCCTCGTTAG